TGTGTGTGTGTGTGTGTGTGTGTGTGTGTGTGTGTGTGTGTGTGTGTGTGTGTGTGTGTGTGTGTGTGTGTGTGTGTGGACAACATACAGGCGTTTGATCCCAGACTCTGGCTGCACAGCAGAGCGCGATCGCGTCCTGGATTCGGGCTCGGGACTAGGAGAGGCCGTGTCTTCTTCCGTTTCGTCGCTAGAGGGGCATTGGCCATTTTAGTGCCATCTTGTGAATGGGAATGGAAATGACATCATCATCCGCTGACCTTTTGTAGTAGGCCAGCTCCTCCTGCAGCAAGAAGACTTTGGCTTTGAGCTCGTTGCGCTCGTGCAGGACATCCCGCAACTCCTGCAGGGTGAACCGGGCCCGGTTGGGGTCCTTGAAGTCCGGAAGCTCCGTGGTTGTGTCCTCCTGGCACAACGCCTCCTGAGAGAAGAGAGTGGGTACGGAAAGCTGTTTGAATATTCATTCCATATCATTGATAGGCAGCTTAAGATCCAAGTACTTGTACGCTCTTTGTCCTTCCCCGTAAGACAGTTAAGCACACTACTTTTAGTATTTAGTGAGCTTTGATCCAGTAAATGCTCCTCAGAAATCCATGGATTAACGTGGTGTGCTGCAGGGATCCATTTTAGGCCCTACCCTGTTTAGTTTGTACCAGTATATGTAGAACAACTGTGCCTTTTTTTCCCCCCACTACCTTCCAATACTGTACGATATTCCGAAATACTCGAAGGACAACAACATGTCACTGTTGAGGCAAAAGTGCATTCGTTGGCATCTGCATGCTACTAGTACTCTACAACTATGGAAGTAGTACTTACTTTGGGTTGTATCGCAGGAATATTGGTCATGCACAAAGTTGATGAAGAGTTTCAAATGTTACGTTAGCAACAGCCACCACAAACTCACAACAAGCTTCAGGTAAATTGTAAACAAATGGGGGGCGGGAAGGTCACTACATAAAACACTGAAGTTACGGTCCAACTCACGGTAAGTGGTGCACAACAAGTCAAACGCACACAACTACCAATATACCAAGGGGAAACAGTCGTGAATAAATTGTTACTAGTGAAGACACCGTTCTACATATTCAAATTAAACAGGGCAGGACCTAAAATTGATCTCTGCGGCACACCACATTCTTGAGTGGATTTTTAAGGAGCGCATATCTATGCCTTCCATGAAAGTTTTGTCAGTGACGTAAGATTAAACAAACATAAATAAATTAATAGATTGCGTACAACCCCAAAGAGGCCAACCTCAGCACTGTTTTAAAAATTGACAATAGAATTGGGTCTAGAAGACAAGCAGTGGGCTTCACTTGCTAGTGGGGACAAAGAGAGTAAATCCACCTTGAGGGAGATTCTCAAGAAAATTAAATAAATGCTCCAATGGCTTTCCACAGTTGAGACAGAAAGTGAATACCTTAGTGTGAAATATTGGTACACAGCAGGCATGTCGTCATCGCACATGGCCTCCTGGTGGCACACCAACAAAGCACGCCTCATTGTTTGCCTTCCACATCAGTTTGATGTCGATTTCTTTTTTTTTTTTGGACTCATTATTGGACATCACGTCTTTCACTTAGCAAACAACACATCGCGATGGGCCTATTTCAGACTCAAGTCATGGCCTACTCAACTGCAGACTGTCAGCATGCTGATCTGAAGTTGAGGAGATTCCCTTCTACTAGAAAAGTAGTGCAGTGCCGCTATCTTGTGACAACTACCGGCAGAGTGTGTGTGGGGGTGTGGTGGGGGGGGGGTGTCCAACGTCTTCAGACTGAACCATGAAGAATGCTGGGGATATTTTTCTTCCGTATTCGAATTATGTGACACGAGTATGTGTGAGAACACGCACACACACACACACACACACACACACGCACACACACACACACACACACACACACACACACACACACACACACACACACACACACACGTATTGCTCAGCCTATGAGAGTGTCCATGCGCGCGTGTGTGTGAGATGTAATTCTAAACTTTTTAAGTGGGGCTATGTGATTGGCTATATTTGAGGCGAGGCGTCATTCGTTTCTTTCACACAAAGATCCGGGCAAACGGCATCAACCGAGCCAAAAGCGCCTTGAAATTTCACACAGAGCCCAGCCGAGTGCGACAGCGCCGTGACACGCTGGTCCCCCGCATGAGAGTTAGTTGCAGGCCATGCAGTCACTGATCATCACCCCAGCGTTAGCGGTCAGTCCGCTTTACCCAAAGCAAGGCCGCCTCGTCGTCCTCGTCCTCGTCAGGCCAGAGCGAGCCGGGCGGCGGCGGGGGGGTGGAGGACTCCAACCAACCCTCCGCCCCCACCACAGCTGACGCTTCACGCTGGTTAAGGAGATTGGCGAGTGAATGACAGTCGTGTGCTTTTGCCAATGACCGAGATCAACAACCGAGCATCATTTGCTACAAGACCGCGAAGCTCGCAATCTAAGCACGACGCCTTCATTTGAGGACATCCAACATACACTTAGCGTAGTTCTTCAAATTCATACGGAATAAATATATGGCTATCCTCATTTCCATAAATTGTTTCATTCGAAGAAATACGGCCCCCTGTGCCTTAAATGGAGGCATCGATTTCTTTGATTGCCGAATCGAGAGGCATCAATTCCATACGTTATGATTGTATTTTTGAAATCAATCAGAGCATTGTGGCATCGGGGTCAAGAAGGTGCGTATTACCTCGGCCGGCGAGGGGGGCTGGGGCGGAGCTTCCCGGATGTCACCCTTTAGCCGCTCCCGCAAGCGCGCCACTTCCTGTCGCAGGGCTCCCACTTCTTGGCCGCGGGTCTGCGCGCCGGCCTCCAGCTCCACCTTCTGCTCAATCAGCGCTTTGCCCTGGGCCTCCACCGCCGAGATCTTGTGGCGCAGATCGTGGTTTATCTTCATGAGGCGGGACTGCTGCTGCTGGAGCTGCAACGGGGAACATTGCAGTCACCGCCATATTTGTCATCCAGGTGTAAAACAACAATTCGAAATGAAAACAAAAACTGTGCTATTTTTTAGCTTGGTTTGGGTGTCTATTGTGTAAAAAAAAGAAAAAGAAAAAAAGGATGATAATTGGCTTCAGTCGTGTGACAAAGTTTTCTCAATGAGGCGCCATGATTGTTGGACAGGCTTACCGCCTCGATGTCTTCGCTCCTGAGCGTGAGCTCGCGGTCTTTGGCCCGGATCTCGTCCCGTTGCTTGTCCACGACCTCCTTCAGCTTTTTCATCACCTGACGCTCACGCTCGCTCATGCCTACGACAAACACAGGCAGCCAGACGACTTAGTCAACTACGCCTAAGTTTGAGCACAGATACTTGTGTGAAAAACGGACTCGGGTAAAAGTCAAATTCCTGATTCAAGCCCTGAAGGAAAGAGGTATGGATGCTGAAATGTACTGGAATACAAAGAGTAAAAGGTCAAAATGAATTTGAGTTGATGAAATAGCCGGCAACTGGACGGACACATTTTGTTCTGGTTTTTAGGCTGGCATGCTGACAATGCATTTGCCTCCAATCATTCTTGGAGTTGACAAAATGGAACAATTCACCTAAATAATAACATGCATGCGGGATATCTTATCTGTTGCATTTATTCATACTTCCTACATGTTGCCGCAGTCCCAGTTTTTTTTTTCCCTAAGGCCTTATCAGAAACTCCTGGCTGTCAATCAAGATCTCAGCCGTGGTTGAGTTTATCACACCGAAATCATTTGAAAGCATGTCGAGAGTGCCGTGCAGGAAGCGCGTGTGTAGCAAGTATGTGTGGACACTGAGGCTAGTGTGTGCGTGCTCAAGCCTGACTCTGGCTTCTGTGCAAGCGGCAAAGAGAAGGCACCCTTTGTGCGCGCATGCAAACCAAAAACATCTTTGTACTTTGCTTTATTTCTTCAACAGAAATAGTTGAGGTAAAAATAACCAGGAATCCACCCAAAAGTGGTCAAATCTAAAATATAAAAAGAAACGTTGAAAAAAATTCAACAAATTTGGAGAAACAATCGGCGAGTGACAAGTATCAAATGATCCTGAAAAAAACATCGCAAAATAGTCACTTTTAACTTCCTGAAAAAAATGACACACTTTCTAAAAATGGTCTTTTTCTTGTTTTCGGGAAATGTTCACAATAAGAAAAATAGAGGAAATGTCATCAGGAATTGATGTTATTTGACCTGAGTAGTGCTGGGAATATCAAACCTTCTGAAAGCAGTGCATTTTTTTTTCAAAGCCAACAGCCGTTAAATTGAACAAATGTCAATAAAATAAATATCAAAAACATTACAAGGAGTGACCAGTTGACAAATATAAAATACTGACCACATACTGTGCCATATCAATGAGTTGAGTTTTTGTATTTTCCTGTATTTCTGAAGGTTGCGCACACACTCTCACCATCGGTCCTCTGCAGGTCGTCGTCACTCGCAGAGTCTCGCAGGGACACATTGTCCAGAAGGCTCTTGTTCTCCTCCTGCAGCTGAGCGATTTGGCAGAGTAGATCCTGAGCCTCACCTCGCCACACGTCCTCGACCAGCTCCAGCTCCTGAATCACAATTCAATGAAAAAATTTTTTTTAAAAAATCAAATTTAGCAACCGTGTGGCTTCTGGTGTTCTCCAAGGTTCAATCCTAGGGTCCTTCCTATTCTACATTTAGTTGATATACCATCCTTTATAAGCAGGGGAAAACTGAACTCGGTCAAAAAACACGCCAACTCGAACAATAGAGGTTTCCCAGTGAAACAGTGAAGTAAATGCCAATGCTTGGCAGCCACAACTTTGGGCAACCCTGCACAATCTAATAAACTGATCTAAGTTTCAGTACAGCGTTTCTCGATTAAAGAAATGACGTACACATTCAAAAGGCTTAAAATTCCGATAGATGTCACAAGACAGCAGCAAAGCACTACTTTTGTCGAACTTAAGCTGGGATGACATATTGATATACCATCCTTTATAAGCAGGGGAAAACTGAACTCGGTCAAAAAACACGCCAACTCGAACAATAGAGGTTTCCCAGTGAAACAGTGAAGTAAATGCCAATGCTTGGCAGCCACAACTTTGGGCAACCCTGCACAATCTAATAAACTGATCTACCTGTAAGTTTCAGTACAGCGTTTCTCTATTAAGGAAATGACGTACACATTCAAAAGCCTTAAAATTCCGATAGATGTCACAACTGCCGTCTTGTGACATCTATCATTACTATCAAAGCATTACTTTTGTCGAACTTAAGCTGGGATGACATCAAATTTCAAACCACAAATCTTGTTATGGCACAGACAACACTTTGGGGATGACTTCGTCTTTTTTTGTGTGTTTGTTTTCTCTTCTTTCCGCTGTGTGACACAAACTTCCTCCCTCCCCTTCCTCCGCGACACAACACGTCCTCTGACTTACACCGGTAAGCTGTAAAACGCCACCTAAAAGTACCAGGTTACCGTGCGTCCATTATGTAGTCGTAAATGAAGACCTTAAAAGTCATTTGTTCAGCGTAAAATCGGCCGTTGTCCGCTTGTCCTCCCTCCTCTGTCGCGTTGACATGGGGCAAAGTTAGCCGCCATCTTGTGAGCATCTTTTCCGCTTTCCTTTCAAAACAAGAGAGCAGAAACAGGGCATCGTGTCTCCCTCCAAGTAAAAACCCAGGGAATGCGTCGTCTTTCCGAATAAACGGGAACTCCACATCCTTCACAATCAATAAACAGGAAAGCAGCATCCTTCAGAATAAACAAAGAGGAATGCATGCACGCCCTTCAAATTAAAATGTAAAAGGAATGCTTTGTCCGTCAAATTAATACTAGATGGGATTGCTGCTCATTCAAATTAGACCGTAACAAGGACGCTCCATCCCTTAGAACGGAAAGAGGCTTCTTTAAAAAATGTGAATGTTAATGGTGCATAAAATAAAACCGAACTGGATGACGCATTCATCTTACTAAAATTGCCCTTAAATAATAACAATAATAATAATAATGATGATGATGATGATAATAATCATCATAACAATGATTAGGATGTAGCATTCTTTATGATGCAGCATAATATGACATTTTATTTATTTATTTTTATTTTTATTTTTTGTAATTATTTCTGAAGGACGTGGCATTTCTGTTTGTGTTTGAAGGATGCCACGATGTCGTTAGATTTTATTGTGAAGGATTTAACTCCGGCCGAACTTGCTGAATAGTGTGCACATTCCACTGCGTTAGCTCACTGAACCAAAATAACACGTGAGGCAGCTGGCAGAATATTTTGGACTGCGGGGTGAAGTGATTCATATTTCCCTTCTTGAATAATGGGATCCACTAGAATTCAGTCACATAAATGAGCGGCTGTTCTTGTAAAATGACAACATTAATCTCATAGTGTAATTTGATTATAAAATTATCAGTATAATCTCATAATATTACAACTTCATCGGTGTATGATTATGACCTTAATCTAAAAGGTTCTAAATTTATTCTGGTAACATTACGACTTGATTCTTCAACTATTAAGACTATTTTCCCCCCCTTTTCGTAACCCTACGACTCTTTGTACAGAAGTGCATCTTCATATTCCTCCACGAATATTATGGCAACATTACAAGTTTATTCTTGTGACGTGATCACTTAATTCTCATAAAAATGACAACTGTATTAGCATAACACGACTACCGTTTTTGTAACCTGACGACAATGCGCGCAACATTTTGACGATACTCGAAATGAGCACATTCTTGTCACATTATGACTTTAACCTTGTAGAATTTATCGGAAGATTGTGACTTACTTTAACATTACGACTATGTTCAATCATCTTTATTGTACGGTTCTGACAAAGTTGATTTGTATCTGTAAATCAATTTGTACATTTTTAGTCAAAGTGACATTTTGGAAACTTTTGCTCATTTTCGCTTGTGACAGTTAGCACACAAACGCGGAGCGGTAATTCAAAGAAACAATTGGCTTTCTCAGGCATTTAATCAAGCTTCAGAATTCCATCAAAGCACAGAAAAGAGTTGGACAGAAAACGTGCAGGAATTTGATGGATATTAACAGTGAAGCAAACTGTCTCGGTATTGGATCGAAGTTAGCGTTAGCTCTAAGACGAGTTCCGACACCGAAACAGATGGATATTAACAGTGAAGCAAACTGTCTCGGTATGGGTCGAAGTTAGCGTTAGCTCTAAGATGAGTTCCGACACCCAAACGCTCGATGGCGAAAGAGTTTCCGTGCTTCATTTGATCACTTTGGAACGGAAAGACGTTGGCAGACATAAACGAAATCAAACTGTTCCATCTCCATGATCCGCGAGCCCCGCTTCTGGCCGGCCTCAAGACTCCCCGGTCCCGCTTCCCGCTTCCCCTCGTCTGAACTGCAATGGAAATTACAAACATGCAAACCATTCTCTTGCTTTCAAAGCACACAGACTGAAGTGAACCGTTGGTCTCTTACCGCGTTCTTAAACAGGTTCCCCGATTTGGAGAAGATGCTTGGTTTCCTCAGGTTGAGTTTTCCGGATTCCGCGCTCTTGGAGTCGGTGCTCTGGGACTGCGGCGAGCGTTGGGAGTGGCTAGGTGCCGGCGAAGAGGTTTGCGAGCTGGAGTAGGACTGACTTTTCAGGTAATTCTGGCCAGGGATTGGGGCGTACGCTTGGGAAGATGTGTAAGGTTGCGATGACATGTAAGGTTGCGATGGCGTATAAGCCTGAGATGGTGAGAATGACTGCGGCGGCGTGTAGGGCTGTGACGGCGCGTAGGACTGAGGCTGCAAGAAGGATTGCGATGCGGCAGGCGCAAAGGGGTTCGTGGACGCAAAGGCGGGAACGGCGGCAGGCTCGGGTGGCGGGAAGGAGGCGGCGTCCAGTAAAGTGGGCGGGGGCGGCGGGGGGAAGCTCTCGTCGCCGTCCAGAATGTCGCCGTCCTGCGGGGGGCTCAAGTCGTAGTGGCGCTTCCTCAGCTCGCCCAGACGGACGCGCTCCTGATCCAGCTGACTTTCCAGCTGCAGCACCCGCACCTGGGAACCAAACCGCCAGAGTTCATTTCAGCCAATATCCATCAATAACAATGCCCAAATATGTACATCATGAAATGAACCCACAGCCGGACAGTTTACTGTACGATGAATGACTCACCTGAGCCTCCATTTCCTCTTTTTTCAACTTGATGAGTGACATTCCGGAGAAGTCCATCACTCCTGCAAGGACACGAAAGATCAATCAAACCCGTAACAATCCGGTAGAATGTAACACGGCTTCTCACCCTGCTCCGAGATTTGCTGCTGTCCGTGCTTCGTCGAGGTGACCACCACGGCGGCCATGTCGTTGACGTGCCGCGAGGCCTGCTGCAACGTGGACAGCTTCCTGTTGCCGCGCTCCGCCTTCACCTGCGAGAGGACGGACGTGTTAGCGACACGTTAGCCCGCTAGCGCTCGCTGAGCTTTCAAAGGGTGAAGCCGCGGGGGCACCTTTGAGGCGGCGACCAGCTGGGCGGTGCTGGCGGCGATCTCGTGGGAGCATGCGATGAGCTCCTCGTACGTCCCGTTGTCGGTCACAACGCGATCGGCGGACTCTCTGGAGATAAAGACGACCGGTTCGTCATCCGCTCGGAAATCACGCCAGCTAATTTGGAGTCGAGGGACTCACAGCAGCTGCGTGGCACCCCAGCCCACCGCTTTGGAGGCCGAGATCAGACCCTCCGTCCAGCGGGAGTTTTTGGCGTAGAATTCCGTGACAGAAGCTGCTCCCTGCGGGAAAACAGCAAAGCCAGAATATTTATTTGATGTACAGCGGAGCCCTCTATTCGCAAGGGAGAGGGACCTGGGCCGACTCCGGGTAGTGGAAACCTGTGAGTAATTGACCTCCATGATAACTGCATACACAGAAATTTCAATCCGAAAAAGGTTACGGAGCATGCATTCCACTCACCCTGCCTCCTTCCACAATGTCCTTCTGGAGATCTGTGGCGGCCGTCACCAGCATGTGGACAGCCTGCAGACACAGCGCAACACGTTCACGACATATATTGACATTGTGGCAACGTCAGATCGGAGCTTCGGCGATGACTACCTTCATGAGGTCGGAGCAGGAGCCCAGGATGCTGCGACGGGACACAAAGGTTTCAGTTTTCAAAGTGAAACACAAAAAAAAACAAATATAAAATAGCGACGACTGTTGTGGTGATCTCACCTCTGGTTGACTTCCAGTTTCAGGCCACTTGTGTCCCTTCTGGCCTGGGACAAAATCTCCTACAAACACGCACAAAGCATCATCCGAATGATTCCAAATTCAGCCCCTGTCTCAGTCAGTGATATCTTAATTTGGTAGGCGTGTCTTATGAGCAGACCCACAAAAAGAGTCTCAAGAAGACATGCCAGAAAAGACCCAGGAAGTCTACCATTTTAGTTCAAAGCGATTCTTTTGGCTCAGTAGCACCCTTCAGAATATGACAAAGCTAGTTTAAGTTAGCAACGTCAAATTTCCTCGCCGTGTCGATCACGAGCGGACCCATAACGACTCTCACAA